AGCAAGGTAGGTTGCTCAGAGCCCCACCCAGCCTGACCTTGAATATTGCATTCAAGAAACACAACTTCATAAATGGATGTTTCACCAAGGTGCTGGTTTTCTCTGTGGCCAACATGGAGCCAAAATTTTGGTATATGTTGATGGTGGAACTAAAGGCTGTGAATGCAGCGTGAGGAGAGTGAGAGCTCAGTTCTGTGCCAGGAAAATCAATGACTCAGTGTGGGTTTGGTTGGGAAATTATTTGATTTCATGCTTGGTGCCAAAGGCAGTGCCATTGCTCTTCTGCTCCTGGTTTCTCTGTCATGAAAGACAATGACAGTCCTCCAACAATAACACTTTCCATGGTAACTGCTCCTGTAGAACCTTAATTCATGGATGGACCTGCCAATGAATCCTGTGTGAAACCTCCATTATCCAGCTGTGTCTCTATGCCACAATGTGATACAGAGTTTCCTCAGAGTTGTAATTACCCTTTCTTTCAGGCCTTTGTTTCTAGGAAGATTGCAGCTCATTTTCACAATTCTGGTCAGTACTTTTAAATATGAAACAGTGACTGATGTATTTCAGCACATCCTTACTTCAGCCACTTAAGACTGAACGGTGTGTGGGGAATAGGAGGCAGAAGGAATAAGAGAATCTGTTGTAATTTGTCAGCAGATTTACCTTGAGAAAGAGGCTGATGAGAAGCTGTTTGAAATGATGGTTTCCTAACTGTGCAAGGTGAGCAGGCCATGCAGTAGAAAACGTTCCTGAGCTGAGGACAGATTCTTCAAATGAACCCCCCTATCCTGCTGTTCTGTGTGAGTCTTTATGGTCAAAGTTGCAATTTGAGACCTGAGTGACTTCCAGGTGCCCTCAGGGATGAGTTTTAGGGCCTGCAAGGAAAGTCTAGAAGACTTCACTGTGAACCTCTGTGGCTACTTGTTCTCTTGTATTGCTTCCTTACCTTATATGATTAATATTTTGGGTTTTCTGTGTTTTTTTTTTTTTTTTAATTTTTTTTGTCTTTGATTTATTTAGTGTGATGGTATATTTTGAATTATCAAAAAGCTATCTTTTATGAGCAATATATGGTGTGATAGTGTCCCATGCTCTTGTCCCAGTAGAAGTCATGAGATTTGAGAGAGAATTTGTGTTCTGTTCTTATTGGTAGAAATGGATGTAAATACGCCTTTAGTAGATGTTGCATCTCTGTAGAACACAAAATGTAATAAAGATGGGGAGGAGATTACCTTGAAGCCAATGGTTTGATGAGCCATTCTCCATTGGGTGACTGCTGATCTTTTAGTGTGGTTGTTTATCATTCCTGTGCTCTAGAATCCTTCAGTTTTTGATCATAATGGTGGTGAGCAGACAATTGTACCTCCCTTGTGGGTGTGGCTGAAGTGCATTATCATCTCCTGATCGATTTGACTCATGAGGAGATGGGCACAAGCAAAACCTTCCAGTGGCATGGCGTGGAAGAAAAAGCAGACAGGGGAGCTCTGTGTGTGAGGCTGGAGAAGACCTCGGTCATTCCCTTGCTTGTCACAGGTCATAGCTAACACCAGCCTGTGCCTGATGGAGTGCTGTGAGATTTGAGTTGCTTCTGTAGAGCAAGGGAGGCCTACAAATTGTTATTGCATCTGTACATTTCCATATGTTTGTAACTCTTGCAGTGTTTGTTGTCATGAGCTTGTGCTCAGCGTGTCTGACCTTATGTGGAAGGTCTCCTCTGTCCCAGCTGCCCGAGTGCAGCTGCAGTTCCCACACACACCTGTGATGTTTCCAGCTGTACAGAGGAAGGGTTTCATGAGCACTCCTTCTGTGCTCACCCAGGAACACTTTGTCTGTGATGTAAAATGCAGAAGCATGTCGGCTGCAGCTATCAAAGTGCAGAGCAGCCACCCAGCCCAGCCAAGACTTCCATGAGCATACCAGGGGCCAGTGGGAGAATGTGTGCAGTGTCCCCCAGGCCATCACCAGAGGAACATGCTGGGCAATCACCTGGAGGCTGTGAAAGGGCTGAGGAACAGGCTGGAGAGTCACCTCCAAAGAGTCACAGACAGTGGCTCAATGTCCCGGTGGAAAGCAGTGGCTTGTGCTGTCCCTGAAGGGTCCTGACTGGGCCCAGTTCTGTTCATGCCTTCATGGACAGTGCATTGAGTGCACCTTCAGCCCATGTGCAGCTGGCACCAATTGGAGCTGACTCCGGGAGGGCAGAGCTGCCACTGAGGGATAGGCTGGGGAAGAGGCCCCTTGCAACCATCATGAAGTTGAACAAAGTGCAAGGTCCTGCAGCTGTGGTGGGCAATCCCCAGTTTAAAGAGAGGGTCAGGGATATGGAAGAGCTTTGCAGAGAAGCACTTTGGGTCATTGGTGGGTGATAAGATGGGATGTGAGCTGCCAATGGGCACCTGCTTCTCAAATGGTGTCCTGCACTGCATGACAAATACTCTGTCCAGCAGGTTGAGGGTGGTCCTTGCCCCCTCTAAACTCACTTTGTGAGAGCATAGACTGCATGCAGATCTTGGGCTGATATCCCAAAGGGACATGTTAGAGTCCCCAGAAGGATCATGGAAGTGGCCTGAGTGTTTGAATATTTCTGTAATGGAGAAGGGCTGAAGGAGGTGAGGTCTTTAAGCATAGAGAAATGATAGCTCTCTGTAGACTTTTGAAAACCTTTCACTCTTTCAATATGTGAATAAACTTATAGGAAAGATTTGGTGAGGTTTTTTTATGAGGGCCAGCAGCCATAATTCAGTAGACTTTTGTTTTTAATGAAAAGAAGAGAGGTTTTGATTAGGAGAAATCTTTTCAATGTGGGTTGTATGGAAATGGAAGATATATCCCACAGAAGTTTTGGATTTGCCTCCAACATTGAAGACTATCTGAAATTTTTCCTGCTCATGGCAGTGTTGTGGATTAAATTACCATTAATAAAAATTTCAAATGGAAAGTGAAAACATTGTTTGGCTCGATGAAGGACTGAGAGTTGCTCTGCATTTTCCATTGTCAGGTGCTCAGATATGGATGAATGAAACAACTCAGATGAAGCAACTTTGATGAGTCAGAAACAAAAAAGTAAATGTCTTTCTCCTATTTTGGCATCGGGGTTGCTTACATTGCTTTAGGCTGGTCTGTAGCTGAAACTAATTTAACCCTGGCAATGAAAACAGAATTTAAGAAAAATATGAAAATGCTCTTGAAGTCTTTCCCATATTATAATTTATTGCTGGTGTAAATGNGCTGTCCCTGAAGGGTCCTGACTGGGCCCAGTTCTGTTCATGCCTTCATGGACAGTGCATTGAGTGCACCTTCAGCCCATGTGCAGCTGGCACCAATTGGAGCTGATTCCGGGAGGGCAGAGCTGCCACTGAGGGATAGGCTGGGGAAGAGGCCCCTTGCAACCATCATGACGTGGAACAAAGTGCATGGTCCTGCAGCTGTGGTGGGGCAATCCCCAGTTTGAAGAGAGGGTCAGGGATATGGAAGAGCTTTGCAGGGAAGCACTTTGGGTCATTGGTGGGTGATAAGATGGCATGTGAGCTGCCAATGGGCACCTGCTGCTCAAATGGTGTCCTGCACTGCATGACAAATACTCTGCCCAACACGTCAAGGGTGTTCCTTCCCCCCCTCCAAACTCTTTTTGTGAGAGCGTAGACTGCATTCAGATCTTGGGCCAATATCCCAGATGGACATGTTAGAGTCCCCAGAAGGATGATATTATTAGCCTGAGGGTTGGTATATGTCTGCAGTGCCGAAAGAATGAAGGATTTGATGTCTTCAAGCATAGAGAATGACAGCTCTGTGTAGACTTTTGAAAATATTTCACTCTTTCAGTATATGAATAAACTTATAGAAACATCTGGCGAGTATTTTTGATGAGGGCTAGTGGTCATAGTTCAGCAGACTATTGTTTTTCACTAAATGACGGGAGGTTTTGATTAGGAGAAATCTTTTTAGTGTGGGTTGTATGAAAATGGAAGATATTGCCCAGAGAAGTTTTGGATTTGCCTCCAGCATTTCAGTCTACCTGAAAGTATTCCTGTTCATGGCAGAGTTTTGGATTAAATTACCATTAATAAAAATTTCAGATGGAAACTGAGAATATTGTTTGGCTCTATGAAGGACTGAGTATTTCATTGCATTTTCCATTGCTCAGATATGGATGAATGAAAGAACTCAGATGAAGCAACTTTGATGAGTCAGTAAGAAAACAGTAAATGTGATTCTGCTATCTTGGCATAGGAGTTGTTTAAATTGCTTTAGGCTGGTCTATAGCTGAAACTAGTTCAACCCAGGTAATGAAAGCACATTTCAAGTCAAGTACGAAAACGTTATTTAAGTTTTTTCTATATTATCATTTATTGCTGGTGTAAATGGGCTGTGATTTTATTAAGAGGAGCTCAATTCCATTCTTTACTGACCTGCCATGAATATTTGCTTCTTACTGTTGAATGTGACCCGAGAAAATGCTCTAAAATCACCCGGCAACACATCTCTGATAGTAGGCCTTGGTGTCGAATTAAGGAAGAGCTTCAGCGCTGTCTGTCGGCGGTGGCGGCGGGATCCCGGGCCCGGTGCCGCCGCCGAGCCCCGCCCAAGCCGGGCCCCCTTGAGCGCGGCCGTCCGGCGGCTGCAGTGGCGCGGCGGCGCCTCCGGGTGCCGCTGTTGGCCGCCGCCGAGCGGCGCTGGAGCCGCCGCCGCCGCCGCCGCAGCGTCCTGCCCCCGCAGGCTGCTCGCTCGCCCGGCGCCGGCCGCAGCGGCAGCGGCACCGCCACCGGCAGCAGC